TGTAGAATAATTACCAGCAATTTTTATCACGGGAAGATTTGTGCTTCGTCTGCTTTTGGAGACTTAACTTTTAAAATGTTGGACTGTTTTAACGGGGAAAAAAAAAATATTAGAAGTGGTCTCTTACTGGTGATTAGCTTGGGAAAAAAAAAAATAAAATTCAAATACCCCCCAAATTCCAAGTAAATTTGGATCTGAAACTAAATGTTGTGGTTCAGAGCAGTTTGAAGTTAAAGTATTTCAGGTCCGGAGGACCCGATGAGAAAAGTGCTGGAGTTTTCTGCGAGTGAGAACTCGCAGAAAGGAAAAAAAATTCCTTCGTGTCCTCTCCCCAACAGCCACGAGAGGGCCCAGGATGCCTGGATGAGCCCGGCCCTGCTCGGAGAGCAAATTCCTCAGCCCGACAGGCTGGGGAAAAAAAAAAAAATTCCATTTTTCCTTAAGCAGGCACCTGAATGTTATTTCACAGCCTTTTCTGTTACGTGAAGGAATGGGAGATTCATCTCGGGAAGCCCAGAGAGCTCAGAAATACATGGATTTGTGTGGTAATAAAAGCATGATCAATATGTAAGCATTCCACGGGATATTTTATGGAGATTCAAAGACAGGGAAGCAAGAAGGCTTTGCCTTATTCTCCATATCCAGAAGCCAGAAACCAAAGCAATGTAGATTCTTGGTTGAAATCACATGTAAATACAGGAAATTTTTTTTCAGTCTCTCCAACTTTTCCCTCAGGAACACCAATATTGCAGCTTAAATACCTTGCAGAGATCCATATCCTGCAGGTCCTGAGGCCTTTGCTATCCAAAAGTGGAGAACTGTCATTTCTATTATTTGGGCATTTAAAAATGCAGGTGAAAAACATTTAGTCCCGGACAAAAATCTAGTTTCTGGTCCAGAATCTGACTTCTTAGGGCTAAAAAACAAGCTGCTGAAATTGTTTGTGGAGGGATGCAGGGTGGATCTTGTGTGGAGGAGCTGTTTGCATTTCTGCTGAGAGTAATTCTTCTTGTAAAGTTCAGTTTATAGGAAATGTTGCCCAGCA